ATTTTTTTGGATCCAGAAAGAATAATAATAAGAGGATAGAGTTTTACATAATAAAAGGAAAGTACAGTGGACCCTCGATCAATGGCGGCATCACCTAATGCCAAAATCGGCTAACGGCTTTCTTTGGCGGCAAAATATTGGCTCGACCAACGCTGAAAAACTCGTCTAAAGGCTTTCGTCCCGAATGTGTCCACGTGGCCTGAGTGGGCCCAGCCACTCCAAGACTTAGTGAATAGCCAGTGTGCCATTGTTTACAAGTCGTTGCGGTCGATTCCACGCATACCAGTGTTATATTTTGTAATTTTTTTTTCAACAAACCAGCCATATCTCACCAAGGCAGGGTGGCCCAAAAAGAAAAACAAAAGTTTCTCTTTTTAAATTTAGTAATTTATACAAGAGTCAAGGGATTACTAGCCTCTTGCTCCCGGCATTTTAGTCGCCTTTTACAACACTCATGGCTTACGGAGGAATAATTCTGTTCCACTTCCCCATGGAGATAAAAGGAAATAAACAAGAATAAGAACTAGAAAGAAAATAGAAGAAAACCCAGAGGGGTGTGTGTATATATATGCTTGTACATGTATGTGTAGTGTGACCAAAGTGTAAGAAGTAGTAGCAAGACGTACCTGAAATCTTGCATGTTTATGAGACAGACAAAACGATACCAGCAATCCTACCATCATGCAAAACAATTAGAGGCTTTCGTTTTACATTCACTTGGCAGGACGGTAGTACCTCCCTGGGTGGTTGCTGTCTACTAACCTACTACCTAGAATATTTTGTATTATTCCATTGTTTTTAGTGCTCATAACTGCTAAATAAGCCACCATGGGCCCCAAGAAAGCTTCTAGTGCCAACCCTGTGGTAAAAAGGGTGAGAATTACTATGGAATTGAAGAAAGAGATAATAGAAAAGTACGAAAGTGGTGTGTGTATCTCTGAGTTGGAAAGGCTATATAACAAACCCCCATTCAACTACAGTGGACCCCCGCATACCGGACGCATCGCATACCATACAATCCGCATACTGGACGCTTTGATCGCAAAAATTTTGCCTCGCATACCGCCCAAAAACCCGCTCACTGCCCTTCGTCCGAGACGCTTCCAATGTGCGGCCTGAGCCACGCTCACATGTTCCGCCGGTGGCATTGTTTACCAGCCAGCCTCCGCGGTAACATCCAAGCATACAATCGGAACATTTCGTATTATTACAGTGTTTTTGGTGATTTTTTCTGGAAAATAAGTGACCATGGGCCCCAAGAAAGCTTCTAGTGCCAACCCTACAGCAATAAGGGTGAGAATTACTATGGAGATGAAGAAAAAGATCATTGATAAGTATGAAAGTGGAGTGCATGTCTCCGAGCTGGCCAGGTTGTATAATAAACCCCAATCAACCATCGCTACTATTGGTGGTACAGCTGCTGCTGTACCACCGTCAGCTGCTGCTGCACTGTCAGCTGCTGCTGCACTGTCAGCTGCTGCTGCACTGTCAGCTGCTGCTGCTGCTGTAGTACCGTCTGCTGCTGCTGTAGCATCGTCTGTTGCTGCTGTACCACCGTCAGCTGCTGCTGCTGCTGCTGCTGCTGTAGCATCGTCTGCTGCTGCTGTAACATCGTCAGTTGCTGCTGTAGCATCGTCTGCTGCTGCTGTAGCATCGTCTGTTGCTGCTGTAGCATCGTCTGTTGCTGCTGTACCACCGTCAGCTGCTGCTGCTGCTGTAGCATCGTCTGCTGCTGCTGCTGTAGCATCGTCTGCTGCTGCTGTAACATCGTCAGTTGCTGCTGTAGCATCGTCTGCTGCTGCTGTAGCATCGTCTGTTGCTGCTGTAGCATCGTCTGTTGCTGCTGTACCACCGTCAGCTGCTGCTGCAGCATCGTCTGCTGCTGCTGTAGCATCGTCTGCTGCTGCTGTAGCATCGTCTGTTGCTGCTGTACCACCGTCAGCTGCTGCTGCTGCTGTAGCATCGTCTGCTGCTGCTGCTGCTGTAGCATCGTCTGCTGCTGCTGCTGCTGTAGCATCGTCTGCTGCTGCTGTAACATCGTCAGTTGCTGCTGTAGCATCGTCTCCTGCTGCTGTAGCATCGTCTGTTGCTGCTGTAGCATCGTCTGTTGCTGCTGTACCACCGTCAGCTGCTGCTGCTTCTGTAGCACCGTTGTTGGTGTGGCTTATTGAGAATACCAAGAAACAATTAACCCCAGAGGATTTGCCACCCAGGATAACCCAAAAAAGTCAGTGTCATCGAAGACTGTCTAACTTATTTCCATTGGGTCCTTAATCTTGTCTCCCAGGATGCAACCCACACCAGTCGACTAACACATCAGGTGAACAGGGAAAATGCCTGGAACTAGTGCTCATATTGGTGAATTTAGAGCCAGCAAAGGTTGGTTTGAGAGATTTAAGAATCGTAGTGGCATACACAGTGTGATAAGGCCTGTTCTGGAAGAAAATACCTAACAGGACCTACAGTACTCAGGAGGAAAAGGCACTCCCAGGACACAGTGTCTCATCAGTCATTGCTGCATCTTCAATAAAGGTAAGTGTCATTTATTCTTCATTTAGTAGAGTAGTACATGCACAATATATATTGTGCATGTACTACTCTACTATTGTGCATGTATCCTTCTCTTTGTGTGTAGGAAAATGTATATTTCATGTGGTAAATTTTTTTTTTTCATACTTTTGGGTGTCTTGCACGGATTAATTTGATTTCCATTATTTCTTATGGGGAAAATTCATTCGCATACCCAACATTTCGCGTAACAATGAGCCCTCTTGCACGGATTAAGGTCGCTATGCGGGGGTCCACTGTACTATCTTGGCAAACAGAAAGGCAATCTAGGAAGCTGTTGCTGCAAAAGGTGCAAGTATGTTTTCAAAACAAAGATCACAAATAATTGAAGATGTGGAGAGACTGCTGTTGGTGTGGATAAACAAAAAACAATTATCAGGAGACAGTGTTTCTCAGTCAATATGTGAAAAGGCAAGGCAGTTGCATGATGATCTCATTAAGAAAATGCTTCCAAATAGTGATGGTATTGATGAATTTAAGGCCAGCAAAGGCTGGTTTGAGAGATTTAAGTATTGTAGTGGCATACACAGTGTGATAAGGCATGGTGAGGCTGCCAGTTCAGACAAAAAAAATGACTGAAAAATATGTGCAGGATTTTAAGGAGTACATAGACAGTGAAAAATTAAAACCCCAACAAGTGTTTAATTGTGATGAAACAGGCCTCTTTTGGAAGAAAATGCCGAACAGGACCTACATTACTCAGGAGGAAAAGGCACTCCCAGGACACAAGCCTATGAAAGACAGGCTAACACTCATGTTTTGTAGTAATACTAGTGGAGATTGCAAAGTGAAGCCTTTACTCGTGTATCACTCTGAAACTCCCAGTGTGTTCAAGAAAAAGTGTTGTCAAGGCTAATTTGTGTGTTATGTGGAGAGCAAACAGTAAGGCATAGGTCACTAGGGAAATTTTCCTGGACTGTTTTTATGGTGTGTTTGGCCCCACTGTGAAAAATTACCTCCTGGAAAATAAATTGTCACTCAAGTGCCTCCTGGTAATCGTCACGACTTGCAAGAGCAAACAGCGGGGGTGTTGAGCTTCACCAAAGTTAAGTGTTTGCCTTTTAATACAACTCCTCTCCTCCAGCCCATGGACTAGCAGGTCATTTCAAACTTCAAAAAAACTCTACACAAAAGCAGTGTTTCAAAAAGTGCTTTGAAGTGACCTCAGACACTGAATTGACCCTAAGAGAGTTTTGGAAAGATCACTTCAGTATCCTCGGTTGCATAAACCTTATAGGTAAGACTTGGGAGGGAGTGACTTGCAGGACTTTGAACTCTGCTTAATGTGTACAAGACAGGGATTTTGAAGGGTTTGGGACTAACCCTCAGGAACCTATGCCAGTTGTGGAATCTATTGTGTCATTGGGGAAGTCTAAGGGGTTGGAGGTTTGTGGTGAGGATGTGGAAGAGTTGGTGGAGGACGACGATGAAAAACTAACCACTACAGAGCTGCAAGAGCTTGAGGTGCAACAGATCACAGCTCAGCAATGTGCTTCAGAGCAGGAGGAAGAGAGACGGAGGAAGTTGCCTTCATTAAGGATTAAGGAAATGTGTACAATGTTTACAAAGGTGCAAGCATTTATTGATGAATTTTATCCTGACACAGCTGTTGCAAGCTGTATTGGCAACATGTACAATGACACTTGTGTCCCATTTTAGGGTAATCCTAAGGGGACGTGAGTAACAGAGCTCTGTGGACAGATATTTTGTCCGACAGGGGTCCAGTGACTCTCAAGCTGGTCCTAGTGGCATTAAAAAACTAAGAAGGGAGGTAACCCCAGCAAAGGATTTAGTACCTGAAGTCTTTATGGAAGGGGATTTCCCTTCCAAACACTAGAACACCTTAATCTCCCCTGCTCCTGGCTCATCACTCATCAACAATTCCACAATAAAGGTAAATGGCGTTTAATTATTGTTTATTTTGCATGTACCATTGGTTTCTGTGTATGGAAATGTATATTTCATGTAAAAAAAAAAATGATTTTGTTTAATACTTTTGGGTGTCTGGAACAGATTAATTCTATTTCCATTATTTCTTATGGGGAAAATTAATTCAGCTAACGGCTAATTTGCCTAAAGGCTAGCTCTCTGGAACGGATTAAAGGTGTTAGCCAAGGGTCCACTGTACTGCTTTTAAAATGCAAGACGGCTGGAACAAAAACTTGGAAATAGTTAATTAAAAACACTAGGCACAATAAGCATAACTACTCCTGTAACTATTTATAACAGATTTTTTTCTCAACAAACTGGCCTTATCCCACCAAGGCAGGTTGACCCAAAAAACAAACAAAAGTTTTTCTTTTTAAATTTAGTAATTTTTACAGGAGAAGGGGTCACCAGCCCCTTGCTCCTGTTTATTAGATATAATTAAATATTATCATCACTCCACTCACAGTCTCAATAATAGTTAGTAAATTATTAATAGAACTTACTGTGTCAGCACCTTTACAATATAATTTTATTTGTCCTTGAGGTGTCTTGACAATAACGCTCATACGTTTGCGAGAGGATGTAAACTCCAGTACATTGAGGATTTCATACTTCTCCTTGGCTCCAAGAACATCAATGATGCAATACTCAGGAGTTCGCGTCTCAAACACAAAGCCCAGTTCTCGAGCGCCTTCAACCAGTGCTCTCTCATCTGTCAATATCAGTAATAATTTTATTAATGGGATAAACTTCACATAAAAATTTATAATGAACAACATTATGTGAAAGTTTTCAATAACACAGAAAAAAATGTTTTGGGATTCTGAACAGTTAAGAATCTTAACTGTTCTTTTGTCTCCCATGTACATCTATGTTACTGATATCAGCATCACTTATATAGTTCTATGTATAAATTCCATGGCCTCAAATTTGGTGGGAAAGGCAATAGTTCTAGGAACATGACAAGTGCCTGTATATATGTGAACATATGTTAGAACATTAGTAATGGGTATGTGCAGTACAAAAAATCCTGATCCTCATAACAGACATAGATAAAAACACACATCACACTTCTGTATCATCATTTGCAGATGACACTAAAATAAGCATGAAAGTTACTATGGTAAAGGACAGAAAAATTACAGGAAAACATAAGCAGGGTTATTCAGTGGGCAGTGGAGAACAACATGACATTTAATGGTGACAAGTTCCAGCTGCTTAGGTATGGAAAGAATGAAGAACTCAAAAGGAACACTATATACAAAACTCAAGATGATCACCAAATAGAACAAAAGAAACATGTACAAGACTTGCGAATAATTATGTCAGCTGACCTTTCTTTTAAAGAACATAATAAGACAAAGATCACGACAGCCAGGAAGATGATAGGGTGGGTATTGATAACTTTGAAAACAAGGGAAATAATGGCAATGGTGACACTCTTCAAATCGCTAGTGCTCCCTCGTTTAGAATATTGCTCAGTGCTGACGGCCCCGTTCAAAGCAGGAGAAATATCATAGCTGGAACAAACACAGAGATCGTTTACGGCTCACATTGAGCCAGTAAAGCACCTAAATTACTGGGAATGCCTTCAAGTTTTGAAACTGTATGCATTAGAGTGGAGGAGAGAGATACATGATAATATATACCTGGCAAGTACTCGAGGGCCTGGTCCCAAATCTGCACACTGCCATAACAACATACTGGAGTGAGAGATATGGTAGAAAGTGTAAATTAAACCCAGTGAGGAGCAGGGGTGCAGTGGGGACAATAAAGGAACATTGTATCAACATTTGGAATCCCAGACTATTCAACATCTTATCAAAAGATATCAGAAACACAGCTGGAATAAATGTAGAAGCCTTCAAAAGGAAACTGGACAAGTATCTTCACCAGGTGTCAGATCAATCAGGTTGTGATGGATATGTGGAGCAGCAGTCCTCCAGCAGCAACAGCCTTTTTGACCAGGCAAGCACCAGACTTTGAAGCATTTTCCTGGTGTTTCTTGGGCCCAACTGATAGGCCAGAAGACTTACTACAAGTAAAATGAAGACAATTTTGCTTGGTTTCAGACTTAATAATGGCTTAAATATTTGATTTTGGGATTTTCTTGCAGAAAGGTAGGAGTCCACCAACTCTTTGCTCCATAATGAGCAGCAAGCTCATTAAGGAAGACAAGCAAGTGTTAAAAGAATTATGTGGTAAGTTTACCAAACAATTACCTACTGTATCTGCTACTCTCACTAAACAATTACCTACAGTAGTTGCTACTACACTCACTGAACAATTTTGCTTCTGTTGTGTAAAGTGCTCTCTGACCTCCAAATTGTGTAAGAGTGTTAGATCAGTGCTTGGAGACAAGTGGATTTTATAATGAGATGTGCTGTTGAAGTATGAGCAAGGTAACACTTATGAAGGGATTCAGGGGAGACTGGTCAGATGTGTTTGAGTTCTGGCAGTAGGAAGTACAGCGCCTGCATCTTGAAAGAGGGATGGGGATCTTTCAGTTAAGAGGGTCATTTGAACTGCAATGCCTGCACACTTGTGGCAAAACAACTACTGAATGAATGGTGGTGAATGTATTACATTTTTCTTGGATAACCAAGGTAGCTTGGTTGGAGATGACTTCTGTGTTAAAAAAAAAAAAACTAGAAAAACACAAATTTAAAACACATGTGTGGTACAACAACAAGAAGTGTTATACCATGATTTTTTATACTGAAAAAAATAAAGGGTGGGGGACAACAGTGACCTTAAGGATGTTTCTAGGGGTCAATGCCCCTATAACCCAGTCCCAGAAATCACAGTCATTATTTTTCACATGTTAGTACTGAGATGGGCCACCATGTTCTCCAATTAACTACCTGGTATTAGTATAGGAATAAAAGTTAATAGAGCCACTATTACAAGTTGAGAAAGGATACACATTACCTGGTGATGCAGCATGGTAAATGATGGTGCCATCACCATGGGAGTCATCTCTGTCAGGGATGACAGTATGGCATACTGCTAGCATGGTGAGGAACTGCTTGGCTACAGATGCTCCTGTTATTCCACTCTCTACCAGAGCAACCAAATCCTGACAACTGGAAAGCACAATTATGAGTGTCACTAAAAATTTATAGCAAATTAAGACCCTAAATATACTTATTGCCTTCATCTAGCAATGTTTTAAATCAGTTTTGGCAGTTTGGAGGGATATGTTGTGTATCTTTATACGTATATGCTTCTAAACTGTTATATTTCTGAGCACCTCTGCAAAAACAGTGATTATGTGTGAGTGTGGTGAGAGTGTTGAATGATGATGAAAGCATTTTCTTTTTGGAGATTTTCTTTCTTTTTTGGGTCACCCTGCCTTGGTGGGAGACGGCTGACTTGTTGAAAAAAAAAAAAAATAAAATAAAATAAATTAACACTGTCAGAGTTTCTTGTTTGAAGGGGGCTACTATTTAAACAAAGCTAACTGTTCTCAAGTGTATTCTTTGTCCTCCCTACACCACACAATACATATTAAAAACAATTTGCCACAATTACAGGCTTCTGTTTCACACTCGTCTGACAGGACAATAGTACTTCCATGGGAGACTGCTGTTGATCAACCTTCTTACTGGATATCAGGTTGGATACAAGAAATATGGAGGAAGTAAATGTGTTAAAATATTTGGGAGTGCACTTGTTGGTATATGGTACTATGAGAGATGAGGTAAACCATAGAACTGACAGTAAGGCATCTCTGGAAACAAAACTTTATCCAATGAGGCAAAAAGGGAAATGCACCAGAATATAATGATACCAATATTGCTGTATGGGTATGAAGCATGGGTTTTAAATGTTGCAGCGAGGAGGCTGGAGGCAATGCAGATGTTGTGTCTGAGGGTAATGTGTAGTGTGAATATTAGGATAAAAAGGTGATGTGGGGTTACCAAAAGTTTTACTCATAGGGCTGAGGAGAGTTTTTAAGGTGTTTTGGACATTTAAAGAGGATGGAGAAAAACAGGATGACTAGGGCAGTGTATAAATCTGGAGTTGAGGAAGAAGTTATAGTTGTCCTAGAAAAAGTTGGAAGGAGGGGGGGGTAAAGGAGGTTCTGAGAGCTAAGGGCTTGGACATTTAACAGACTTGTATAAGCATATTAGACACATGTGGAGGCAAGAGGTTGGTTTTATGATTTGATGTGCTGCTGGAGTGTGAGCAAGGAAACATTTGTGAAGGGATTCAGGGAAACTGGTTAGTTAGCTGGAGACGAATGGTTTCTGGGATCTGAAGAGCTGCTGGAGTGTGAGCAGGGTAATATTTTGTGAAGGGATTCAGGGAAACCGGTTAGACGGACATGAGTCCTGGAAATGGGAAGTACAATGACTACACTTAAAAGGAGGGATTTGGGATACTGGCAGGTTGGAGGAACATCTAAACTGTCATATCTGAGTGCCTCTGCAAAGTCAGTGATTATGTATGAGTGATGGTGAAAGTATTATATGATGAAAGTTTTTCTTTCTTTTTGGGTTTTTCTTTCTTTTTGTGTCACCCTGCCTTGGTGGGAAACAGCCGACGTGTTAAAAAAAAATTTAGAATGTTAAACGAGAGTGGGGGCATGTGTTCTATATGATTTGATATGTTTTTCAGAGTGCTACCAAGGTAATATTTATAAATGTGCTGGTCAGACTAGAATTTGGAAGGTGATAAGTAGAGTTGGTGTACTTTAAAAGTGGCTGGAGTGGTTGTGTGACTTGAATGTGTACATTAAGTCAGGATGTCCATATCATTTTTAAAAAGTTCCTCAAGAAAAGGGCAATGAATTAAAAAAAAAACTATCATAAGACAATGTCTCTTCTCAGGTGCTTTAACACAAATTTCAAGAGAGCATCTAAACATCATTCTGAAGTCTCTAAGAAAATTAATCAGAATTAGTTATAAGCTTGTCTGATCTACTAGTATCCTTACTCTAGAAGGGTGGGGAGGAGAGGAGAATTATAAATTTTCAGGTATTGGATGCAAGATCAATTTTACTTACTATCCAACTGCCAGTAAGTGAAAGAGGGTGTATAAATCCTGGCTGGAGGCATGGAGGTGTAAGTATTGGAATGAAGGGATGAAGGAGATTCTTAGTGGTAGGGGCTTGAGCATCCAGCAAGTATGAATATGTAATACACTGGAAAAAGTAAAGGCGAGTAGTTTTCAGGGTTTGACATCCTGTTGGAGTGTGAGCAAGGTAACATTTATGAAAGGATTCAGATAACCCAGCTAGCCAAACTCGAGTCCTGGAAGTGGGAAGAACAGTGCAGGCACTGTAAATAAGGAGCAAGGATATTACTGTTCAGAAGGTCATACAAACTGTGATGTCAGGACACTTCTGGCAAGAGAGCTAACGAATGAATGATGATGAATGAGCTTCATTTTAACCCTTAAACTGTCCAAACGTAGATCTAATTCACATGTGTGGTGCTCTGAATATTTTGATAAATAAAAAAAATCATTTTTTGTTTTCAAATTAGAGGGCAATTTTTGTGGTATAAGACAAAAAAATATTTTAGGACCAGTACTTACCGAGATATAAGACCGTGAAGTTGGCTCTGGATACTCACCTGACGGCAACATCCAGTCCTGCCGCTTGCAGAAGTGTTGCCGATTTACCTATTTTTCTCATTTTTATTTTAATTTATATAATTTTTATGTTCTGATAATTATAATTTATAATAGTTCTTGTGATTTCATAGCCAATCTTTGTTCTGACACTAATATTATGTACTGAAATAGTACTCAAATAATAACAATCACACTGACAGGTGAACATTTTCACCTGCCTTGGTCACTGACTATTGTCTAGAAATATATACAAAGTATTTATAGGTCCCAGCAATGTTTTAGATATGCTGGAGTATGAAACTCCTTGAAGAATGGTGTTATCACAAGGGTCAGATAAGTGACAGCCAGTGGCAGTGACATTTGATGAATGTGGGCTGTTGGAGGGAACCTTGCCTTTCTATGTTTTTACTCTTACACATAAACATGTCTTTGTATATTTGTCTGTCAGTCTATCTGTCTGCTTGTCTGTCTGCCTATCTATCTCTGTCTGTCTTTCTGTCTGTCTGCCTAGCACTGTTTATCTGTCTGTCTAGTTCAGTTTATCTGTCTTTCTGCCTTTTGTGTGTGCCTTGAAGAATGACGTTATGACAAGTGTCAGATTACAAGTGACATTTGATGAATGTGCGCTGCTGGAGGGGCGAACCTTGCCTTTATATGTTTTTACTCTTGCACACAAACATGTCTCTGTATTTCTGTCTATCAGTCTGTCTGTCTGCCTTTCTATCTGTCTGTCTATCTGTACATCTGTCTGTCTATCTGTATAAGTGTCTGTATCTGTCTCTGCCTAGCTCTGCTTATCTGTCTAGTTCAGCTTATCTGTCTTTCTGTCTTCTGTGTGTGGTCATGTTTATTTATGCCTTGTATCTACAAACACTGTATAGCACTTGGCTTGGAATTTATGGGTTACCCTAAGTAATTTACATTATGTATAATAACTGTACTTATGAGCACATGTGAGAGAGATATAGGCAGAGACAGCCAAAGCCAGCCAGCCAGCCAGCCAAATACATTAGAACATAAGAAAGAAGGAACATTGCAGCAGGCCTACTGGCCCATGCAGGGCAGGTCCATGTCACCCCCCCCTGCTTAGACCAATGACCCACCAAGTCAGGTCACATCCACTGAAGGAAGGAGTATGGTGTCTGACCTAGTAGCACAAGCTAGTCATATCTAACTCACACCTACCCACACCCACTCATGTATTTATCTAACCTATTTTTCCTTTCCTTTTAAAATGTGAGTGTTAATATGACATGACATCAGTGAATCCCTGGTGTTTGCCACGCTATTTGCTCTAGCTGGCGCTCAATTGAACTGGTGTTCCCACAAGGTACTAAGTGGTCCCCAATTTTTTTCACACTGCGCACACTGAGTGCACAGACCCATTCTTTCATGTCTAGGCAACTCAAGCCTATTGCACCAAATTTGAAGGAATGAAAAATAAAACGTTGATCTACGTTTGGAGCCCCCCCCCCCGCACATGAATGTAGAGCTACGTGTGGATAGTTAAGGGTTAAGGGCCAATCTAACTTTGTGGAAGACTGCCAAAATGGTTAAAAAAATAAAAGTGAGTGTAACTGAAGAAATGTATGCAAGTGATACTGAAGTAATTCAATAAAGAGAATGCAGTAGAGGAAAAATATATGACATGAATCACAGGTTAGTAGTCAACAGTCAATAATTAACTGCATGTTGGTTATCAACATAGTGAGAAGTCCTACCTGCCATCATCCATGCTGTATACAGTTCCACCTATGGTACACCGCTTGAACTCCATGATGTTGCAGGTCAGTGTTCCAGTCTTGTCAGAGAGAACATACTTAATCATGCCCAACTCCTCATTCAAGTTGGATGTTCTTGCCATGGCCCAGATGTTGTTCTCCTCATAATACATGTTGACATCATTGTTGATAAACCCTGCCTGTACAGCACTTTCTAATAAGTCTTAAGACATTCATATATGGACTACAAACAATAAGATCTACCTAACCAGCTTTCTCTAATATGTAGACTACTAACTTTTTGCCTTACACTTTCATATCCACAAAACAACACAAGTACTTATGATTATACAGTAATTTTATATCATTATACAATATAAGCCTTGTGATAAATGGTTTGAAAACCGACAAGTTGAAGATTGAGAAACTTATGCAACATATAGGAAACTTTATTAACCCTTTCAGGGTTGGTGCCGTACTAGTACGGCTTGCACGCCAGGGTTGGTGCCATACTAGTACGCATAAATTTTAGCACCTTCAAATCTAGTGAAAGCTGGTAGGCCTTCATATGAAAGAATGGGTCTACGTGGTCAGTGTGCGCGGTATAAAAAAAAATCCTGCAGCACAGTGCATAATGAGAAAAAAAAACTCCAACAGTGTTTTTGGTTTAAAACAGCGACTTTGCAGTGTATTTTTGAATGCTATTTATGGTTCTATTCTAGTTTTCCTGGTCTCATTTTATAGAATGGAAGACATAGTATGGAAATTGAGATGATTTTGATTGATTTCACAATGAAAAGTACCTTGGAATTGAGCTCAAAGTAGCAGAAATGTTTGATTTTTGCCAAAGTTCAAAGGTAAACAAATCATGCCACACGTCCAATACACGTCAACTGGTAAGTGTAATATTCTTTCACAAGTGCCCTGATATTATTTATACCATTTTTATGCCATTTCTACACAAATGCAGTAGTCTGCATAACATAAATCTTCTATTTTTTGTGAGAATAAAAATCCAAAGTGGAAAGCAAAAGAAATGTAACAGAGGCCTGGGGACACGAGTAATGAACAGAGGAAATGTTACTTTAGTGCCAGAAATGTCTGTCTTGTTTATTCTGGACCCTATTTGGAAATTGGCATCTTTTGAAATTTGAGTGAAATTGGCAAAATTGCCAATTTCTGACCATGTTATTGGATAGTGGAAATCGGTAAATGGGTGATTTCTTGTACTCATTCGATAGAAAAAATGGAGTTCTTGCAAAATATGTATGATTTTTGTCGACTGGTACATTGGAATTGGCCGAAGATAGGGCTCAAAGTGGGCAAAATTGTCGATGCGTAAACATCGTCGAGACCGCTAACTTCATGAGAGCATAACTCCGTAAGTTTTCCATCAAATTTCATACTTTTGGTGTCATTATGATCGGGAAAAGACTCTCTATCATTTCACAAGAAAAAATAATTTTTTTTTTTTTTTTTTGAAAAATTTCTGACCCTGAGAACAAGTTTAGGAGAGGCCCTGCCGACCCTGAAAGGGTTAAGGAAATGTTTCGCCACTTTATACAAGGAATTCTTCAATACTCGTCCAACCTTTGGACGAAGACCTACTTACACTAGTGGATGGTTCCACTGTGAACCCACCTTCTCCTGCTTCCACTCATCTGTCTACAGTATATAAGCCACTTCTCTAGCCATATGCTGTACTTTCTATAGAGTGATGGACTGAACATATCGATTCCAGGCTAAGGGACTAATTACCTCAAACTCCTCCCCTCCTTACCCCTCTCTGCTTTGTATTAGACTGAAGAAGCCACTGTGGCAAAAGACTTCCTTAATAAAGATTCCCATATAATGAATAAGTGTCTCAATCTTCAATATAAACCTTCTACTATACAAGTCAGAAATTGGTGATTTAAGGAAAAAAATCATATATTTGCCCAAAAATTCACATATTTTCCAACTATCCTAGAGCTACTTACTAAATTTGATACAAGGAATTGTGCTCATTGGAAACTGAATTACAATATTTAATGGTAATCAAGTTTCTGTTCTATAAATTTTTTATCCATTTTTGTCTAGTGGCTTTTTTTTAGTATTTTTAAAAGAACCTTGTCAGTGAGACAGGTCTATAGTTAAAATAGTCTTGGTTATCATGTTTTCAAATAATGGCACACTGTTGCTATTTTTTACTTCGGTAGCTAGATTTCTTATTTGTAATTAAACAAAATACATGAGTGGACAGATTAACTCAGTATGGCATATTTTTTTAATACCCATGGTGATAATCTGTCTGGTAATGCTGTATTTATGTATCAATATTCAGCAATAGCTCCCTTACTTCTTCTTTGGTTATTAACTTTTAATGGGGTCCATTTCAACAAAAGTGTCCTCTTCTGCAAACACACTCTGAAGAAGATACATATTATAGGTCAGATCTTTAACCCCTGGGCTGTGATGCCTACAATGGACTCTGTCCTGCTAGCATCAACAATGTGAGTGATCAGACCATTAACCAGGAAGCCTGGTCTAGAACTGGTCTGCAGGGAAAATGGAAATAACCCCTGGAATCAAAGCTTTGTAAAGTCTGTGAAAATAAATAATTGTGGATAAAGATAAACCTTTGAACTCACCTGAATAAATCTTACAACTTCTAGTGACACTTGGAGAGAGATGGGAATAAGATTGTTGAAGAGGATGATAAATGTGATGAAATTAATGCCAAAGTTGAACACACTCAGATCTGAAACATGACAAGATGATTACTTAATACAACATGTTAATATCATAAACAGTAATAGCAACAATGAAAGATGAAAATGGTGTGGGATGTGATGTGCAGAAAATGTTACACCATCTACACTGATATGTACAAAAACCAAAGTGGACTAAAACCTAAACTATCATCTAAATTATTCCTATAATGACACACAGCAGTAGTTGTCATTACACAAAACATCAGTATTAAAAAATGAGAGAAGACACTTTTATTCCCATAGTGCAGAGATGGAATCTCAAAATTTAGTCTCAAGCTCAAGACAGCCTCAAGGCCACTAAAGCACTAAAACATTTTTCAAGCACGAGGGGCTGATTACCACGCTTTCACTGACTTCAGTATGTGCCACTGGCTGGCAAAGCATCTTCATAATACAGATACAAAGGTGTTGCACTTGTTTAATACTCATGGTATTGTATACTCTTGGTATAATGCCACATTTTAGGTCTTAGTCTCAATCTTGATCTTGGCCTTGGCATGCCAGGTCTCGGTCTCAGTCTTGGTCTGGGCAAATTAGGTCTTGGCCTTGATAGCAGTCAAACATATAGATAAGTTGTTTGTGAGAATTCTCAAAATTATTTCATCTCTTTTACTATTATACATCCCTCTTTACTCTTCACATTCATTTTTATATAACAGCACCACTGGGGTGCTGCATAATTATATTACAAAAGGTCCAGTTATATGACTTAAAAATCTTTGGAGAGGTTTGAAACTAAATAGTTTCTTTTCAAGATTCAGTCCATTGCATGAGAAGGTATTCTGCATCATTCAACATCACCTGAGGAAGTCTTCAGCAAGGAAGGTCCTGATCATGCCACCACATCAGTAAAACTGACATCTCAGCTTCTCTTGTCTCTGGTGTTTCTGAGATGCTACAAAACACTTGTGATTATATCACAAGCTCAGTTTTGAGGAATCATAGTGTCTCTCCATCACCATGTCTCCTAGCAATATACTTCAACTCTTCTTAGTCAGTGGAGGGTCACTGCAGTGAGCAAGGTTCACTAATTGGTAACTTCCAAACTGAAGTATAAAAGGGGGTAAAATAACTGCAGATTCTGAATAACTAAACTATTCAAGTTTTAAGTTAAATTTTTTTTTTTTAACACATCGGTTGTCTCCCACCAAGGCAGGGTGACCCAAAAAGAAAAAAAAATCCCCAAAAAGAAAATACTTTCATCATCATTCAACACTTTCACCTCACTCACACATAATCACTGTTTTTGCAGAGGTGCTCAGAATACAACAGTTTAGAAGTATATACATATAAAGACACACAACATATACATGTACCTCCAAACTGCCAATATCCCAACCCCCTCCTTTAAAGTGCAGGTATTGTACTTCCCACTTCCAGGACTCAAGTCTGGCTATATAAAATAACCGGTTTCTCTGAATCTCTTCACTAAATATTACCCTGCTCACACTCCAACAACTCGTCAGGTCCCAAATACCATTTGTCTCCATTGAATCCTATCTAACACGCTCATGCATGCTTGCCGTAAGTCCAAGTCCCTCACCCACAAAATCTCTTTTACCCTCTCCCTCCAACCTTTTCGAGGACGACCCCTACCCCGCCTTCCTTCCCCTACAGATTTATATGCTCTCCATGTCATTCTACTTTGATCCATTCTCTTTAAATGACCAAACCACCTCAACAACCCCTCTTCAGTCCTCTGACTAATACTTTTATTAACTCCACCCCTTCTCCTAATTTCCACACTCCGAATTTTCTGCATAATATTTACACCACACACTGCCCTTAGACAGGACATCTCCACTGCCTCCAACCGCCTCCTCGCTGCAGCATTTACAACCCAAGCTTCACACCCATATAAGAGTGTTGGTACTACTATACTTTCATACATTTCCTTCTCTGCCTCCACAGATAAAATTTTTTGTCTCCACATATACCTCAATGCACCACTCACCTTTTTTACTTCATCAATTCTATGATTAACCTCATCCTTCATAAATCCATCCGCTGACACGTCAACTTCCAAATATATGAAAACATTCACTTCTTCCATACTCCTCCTCCCCAATTTGACATCCAATTTTTCTTTATCTAAATTATTTGATAACCTCATAACTTTACTCTTTTCTATATTCACTTTCAACTTTCTACCTTCACACACACTCCCAAATTCGTCCACTAACCTTTGCAATTTTTCTTTAGTCTCTCCCATAAGCACAGTATCATCAGCAAAAAGTAACTGTGTCACTTCCCATTTTGTATTTGATTCCCCATAATTTAATCCCACCCCTCTCCAGAACACCCTAGCATTTACTTCTTTTACAACCCCATCCATAAATATATTAAACAACCATGGTGACATTACACATCTATGTCTAAGACCTACTTTTACCGGGAAGTAGTCTCCCTATCTTCTACACACTCTAACCTGAGGCTCACTATCCTCATAAAAACTCTTAACAGCATTTAGCAACTTACCACCTATTCCATATACTTGCAACATCTGCCACATTGCTCCCCTATCCACTCTTAACATATGCCTTTTCTAAATCCATAAATGCCATAAAAACTTCCCTACCTTTTTCTAAATATTGTTCACATATATGCTTCAATGTAAACACTTGATCCACACATCCCCTACCCACTCTAAAAACCTCCTTGCTCATCCGCAATTCTACATTCTGTCTTACCTCTAATTCTTTCAATAACAACCCTACCGTACGCTTTTCCTGGTATACTTAGTAAACTTATTCCTTTATAATTTTTATAATCTCTTTTGTTCTCCTTCCCTTTATATAAAGAGACTGTACACACTCTCTGCCAATCCACAGGTACCTTCCCCTCTTTCATACATTTATTAAACAAAAATACGAACCACTCCAACACTATATCTCCCCCTGCTTTTAACATTTCTGTCATGATCCCATCAGTTCCAGCTGCTTTACCCCCTTTCATTCTATGTAATGCCTCACGCACCTCCCCCACACTCACATCCTGCTCTTTTTCACTCCTAAAAGATATTATACCTCCCTGGCCAGTGCATGAAATTACCGCCTCCCTTTCTTCATCGACATTTAAAAGTTCTTCAAAATATTCTCGCCATCTACCCAATACCTCCATCTCCCCATCTACTACTCTGTTTTTAACTGACAAATCCATTCGTTCCCTAGGCTTTCTTAACCTGTTTAACTCACTCCAAATTTTTTTCTTATTTTCATTAAAATTTCTTGACAGAGCCTCTCCCACTCTATCATCTGCTCTCCTTTTGCACTCTCTCACCACTCTCTTCACCTTTCTTTTACTCTCCATATACTCTACTCTTCTTATAACACTTCTGCTTTGTAAAACCTCTCATAAGCTACCTTTTTCTCTTATATTACACCCTTTACTTCATCATTCCACCAATCACTCTTCTTTTCTCCTGCACCCACCCTCCTATAACCACAAACTTCTGCCTCACATTCTACTACTGCATTTTGAAAACTATTCCAACCCTCTTCAACTCCCCCCCCACTATTCATACTTGCACCAGCCCACCTTTCTGCCAATAGTTGCTTATATCTCACCTGAACTTCCTCCTCCCTTAGTTTGTACACTTTCACCTCAATCTTATTTGTTGTTGCCATTTTCCTCTTGTCCCATCTACCTCTTACTCTAACTGTAGCTACAACTAGATAATGATCTGAAGTATCAGTTGCCCCTCTATACAAGTTTACATCCTGGAGCCTACCCATCATCCTTTTATCCACCAATACATAATCTAACAAACTACTTTCATTACATGCTATATCATACCTTGTATATTTATTTATCCTCTTTTTCATAAAATATGTATTACTTATTACCAAACCTCTTTCTATACATAGCTCAATTAAAGGCTCCCCATTTTCATTTACCCCTGTCATCCCAAATTTACCTACTACTCCCTCCACAACATTTTTACCCACTTTAGCATTGAAATCCCCAACCACCATTACTCTCAAACTTGGTTCAAAACTCCCCACGCATTCACTCAACATTTCCCAAAATCCCTCTCTCCTCTACAATTCTCTCTTCTCCAGGTGCATATACGCTTACTATAACTCACTTTTCACATCCAACCTTTATTTTACTCCACATAATCTTTGAATTAATACATTTATAGTCCCTCTTTACCTGCCATAGCTTATCCATCAACATTATTGCTACTCCTTCTTTAGCTCTAACTCTATTTGAAACCCCTGACCTAATCCCATTTATTCCTCTCCACTGAAACTCTCCCACCCCCTTCCGCTTTGTTTCACTTAAAGCCAGGACATCCAGCTTCTGATTCATGACATCCACAATCATCTCTTTCTTATCATTTGCACAACGTCCACACACATTCAGACTTCCCACTTTGACAATTTTCTTCTTATTCTTTTTAGTAATTATTACAGGAAAAGGGGTTACTAGCCCATTGTTCCCGGCATTTTAGTTGACTTTTACAACACGCATGGCTTACGGAGGAAAGATTCTTATTCCACTTCCCCATGGATATAAAAGGAAAAGTAATAAGAACCAGAACTATTAAGATAAAATTAAAGAAAACTCAGATGAGTGTGTATAAATAAACGTGTATATGTATGTGTAGTGTGACCTAAGTAGAAGTAGCAAGACATACCTGTAATCTTGCATATTTATGAGAGAGACAAAAGACACCAGCAATCCTACCGTCATGTAAAAACAATTACAGGATTTTGTTTTACACTCACTTTATAAGACGGTAGTACCTTCCTGAGTGGTTGCTGTCTACCAACCTACCAACTTTATTAATTTTTCTAATTATATATAAATACTTTATGTAAATGCTTCTGCACAACTTTTCAGGGTGTGTATTCCTAAGTTGCTTGGTTGTAGCTGGAAAGAGTCAATATAACAAATTTACCCTTGCTTAATTCTGTGTTTACAGTATTTTATCCAAATAAAAATAGATTTAAATAAATAAATAATTCTTACTGCTATTATTGTTGGCATTCTCGTTGTTGTTGTAATAAAAAATTATTTAGTTTATAATGTTAGTCACAATGAATATACACTGGAACCTCAAATATCGAACTTTCTTCAGTCCAGAAGGCTGTTCGAGTGCCTTTACCGAATGAATTTATTCCCATCAGGAATAATGTAAATTAGATTAGTCCACTTCAGACCCTCAAAAATACACTTATAAAAGCACTTACAAAAATACACTTACATAATTGGTTGTGTTGGGAGCAGTTCGATTTTTGAGGTTCCACTGTATATTGGTCTCAATCTTCGTCTTATTAATTTTGGTCTCGATATTAATATGTTTGGTTTTGGTTTTGGTTTTGATGTGTTTGGTCTTCACTACTCTTCTGCTATAATGACATGCAGTAACACTGTCATGAACTGAGAAGGAAGACACTTTAAAAGTGGCATACATTCTGAGAGAAGGAAGAAAGGTGTAGTGAACATACCATCAAGGGAGAGATACCAGTGCAGGTTAGCATTCCACTGTGAGTTAAACACAGCCATGATGAGGCAAAGAACAATCAGCAAGAAGAACAGTAGGATGATGAGATTGTTAGTTTGCTTGTCCACCTGAAATGACAACATACTCTGAATAAAGTCTTTCAAGAATATTAAAACTCAAAACAACATATAACCTTGGAATGAGCAGGAGACACAACAGCCTTTCATACACTGAATAATCTACATCTATGGGACACTAAGTTGTAGTTCTAACAATACATTAATGACACTAAGTTGTGGTTCTAACAATAACTTAAGGACATTCTGGTGCAACCTGCAAAAGGAACAACAGACAGCACAACACAGTAATGGGTCTCTTGTGCAGCTGTCTCCTCTAAGTTGAAATGCATTCTATGTGACAACTCATCAGAAACAGAATCTGCACAAGGTTCACTAAATTCAGTGGAATTCTATATAAAAAAAAGAAGGGTTACTAAAACTGAACAAACAGTGAGCTGTGTGTTATATCTTCAGCCTATTAATAACCTAACTCATTCACTTACCTACATTTTCATTAACCATTTTACCATCAACCTTAATTAACATGTACATGTATACCTATAATTTTATGAAAATAAAATTTATTATTATTATTAATATTACAGCTTGAGTATCCCTTATCTATTATGAAGATAAAACACAGTAAAGGCACCAGAACCTTGTCTTGAGGAACCAAGCAATTTATCTTACTAAGACTTGATTTTGCTTTGTTTACTATTACTCCTGTGTTTTATTCACTGTAAAATTTAATATCCATTTGCCTACTTCTCTCATTACACCCAAACACTTCATTGAATGTGCTATCACATTATAATCTCTTTTGGCAACTTTTTTTCAATTTTTGTTTCCACCAACGCAGGATGATCTAAAGAAAACATATTCATCATCATCAACTGCTGTCTTGCCAGAAGTGTGCTGACATCACAATTCAGAGAACCCTCCAACAGCAACATCCTCACTGCCTCCTCCTTCAGATTGAAGGCATTGTCCTTCCCACCTCTGCGACTCAAATCCAACTACCCAGTTTCTTAAAATCCCTTCACAGAAGTTATTTTGCTCACACTTCAAAAACAACATGTCTGTTTTAAAATCACTTTTCTACACTCACTCCTTCTAGCATGTTCACTCAGGCATGCTGGTGCTTAAACCCTAAAAACTCCAAAGTCTCTTTACCCCTTCCTCTAACCATTCCCAGGACAACTAGTACCCCTCCTACCTTCCATTAGATAAATGCATTCTCTTCAACCTATCCTCTTCATATTCTCTACATGCTCAAACCACCTTAACTATTCCTTCCAGCCCTTTTGAAGTATACTCTGAGCGAGTCAAAATCACCTTTTAATTTCTATTTACCAAATTAGCAACACACACTGCTCTCAACCATGACATCTCCACTGCCTCTAGCCTCCTCCTTGATGCAGCTCTTGATTCCCATGCCTCACACCCAATAAAGCATTTGGTACCACTTTTCTCTGATACATTCTCTTTTTTTTTCCCTCCATGAATAAACTTTTTTCCCTCAAGAAATGCTTCATTGTACCACCCACTTTTTTTTTTTTTTTGTTCCTTTGTCAATTTAATAACAAAAAAAGGCACAATACTGAGACTGGAACGATACACAAATAACCCGCACATAGAAGAGAGAAGCTACGACGACATTTCGGTCCGACTTGGACCATTTACAAAGTCCACCATGACTTTGTAAATGGTCCAGTCAGACCGAAATGTCGTCGTAAGCTTCTCTCTTCTTATGTGGGGTTATTTGTGTTTTGTCAATTTCATGGTTCACCTCTTTTTCACAGACCAATCTGTTGACATGTCCATTCTCAGATTTTTAAATACTTTCCATTTCCTCCTACTCCCTCTCTCCAATCTAATATTCAATCTATCAACTGCTTAAATTTGTTCTTTTCTATGTTTAGTTTTTCCTACTTTCACTTTACCCTCCCAAATTCATCCACCATCCTTTGCAATTATCTTCAGAATCCCCAAAAGAACTGTCTATGGTAAAGGTAACTGTGATAACTGCCACTTTGAATTGGATCCAACATCTTTTTAATTCCAAACTTCTTTCCAACACTTTAGAATTCATTTCAACATCCACATCTATAAAATTGTTAACAAATCATAGTTACATCATGCATTCCTTTGTCTAAGTCCTACTTTCACTATAAAATTATCTTAGAATTCTTGTTCACTTACATGCTTCAAAGTAAATACTTAATATATACATCCCCTACCCTTCCTGAATCCTCTCTGCTCCTCCCCCAATCCTACTTTCTGTCTTACCCTTAATTCTTTCAATAATTACTACATTCAACATTTTTCCCTATAATTCTTGTATGTACCTACTTTTATCTCCTTTTTTTCCTTATACTAAGGAACCATGCATGCTCTCTGAAAATCTTAAGTACCCTCCTACCTTTCATGCATATTTTGAACAAAGCCAAACCCCCCCTTTAGAGTGCAGCACTGATTTCTCACATTAATTATGTTTATTATCCTTTGTAAATGGGGGTTGTGATGGCAGAGGGAGAGATGTAAAAGAGTCAAGAGTGAGCATATGGACATAAGGAAAGAATCACAGGCAGGGTTATACATGAGTCTCAGGTATAAAAAAAAAAAAAAAAAAAAAAAAAAATCAGTAAACCAATGAACCTGCCAATTTATTTGCCATACGGGCTAATTTATCTGTATATCTGCTAATGCTCCTGGAAATCATGGACAACTGTCTCAGACCAGCTCTCTTAAACTGGAAAGGAAACACTACAGAGGTAAGGAATCTTGAAAAATACAGTAAAGTGAAGAAAGAATATAGTGAATGCAAGTAGAAGCTTGTAAGATTTTCTTGTCTTTTTGGGTGTGTTCATGACACGGGAAAAAAACCCAGACCAAAAGGTCTGCCACAGTGCATGACAATAAATACATGAAAAGATGGTAGTTTCCACCTGGCTGGATTGTGTCTACAAACCTACTACCTACAGTCCACAAATCAATAATATCTTTGAACAATAGTTGTTTTTATTAAAATTCATAAAAGGTATAAAAATATCGACAGTACATTTACAAAATTCACATGACACCATCCAGACACACACACATCACATGTATACAGCAGGAATTAAACCTGGCACTGGAAATGTTCCTTGTGAAGCTGAGGCTCCAGAAAAAAGTCTTAATCCCAAAAAGCTTATTTCAGGTTACAGAAAAGACACTCCTTAAAAATTAATTTTTAACCCTTTGTTTGTCGCAGGCCCTTTCTGAAACTGTCATTCTATGTCGCAAAAATATTCGAAAAAAAAAAAAAAATTTTCTTACCAAAATGTTAGGTTCATTTTACCGAGTGTTTTAAGCCTAAAAAAAAAATTTTGCCATCAGTACTTACCGAGATACAGAGGCACAAAGTTGGCAGAAAATGAGTGGCATATGGCAACGCAGCGAATGCCGCCCACACGGTATTCATTTATTTGCTCCAATTCAAAGGTTTCTTGTATTTTCCAATATTTTTCTTTTCTAAGTAACTTATGTGGCCTGTGAGACCAATGTAAGGCGCATTGTTCAAATACACACTCATTGTTTACAACACAATAACTAAAAAAAACATTATCACTTTTGATTGTGTATTAAACTTGTTTACACAAACAATACAAAACATTGTTTATTACTATTGTTCCCCACAGGATGGGTATGGAGTGCATAATAAACATATTAAACTAACTAACTATTACTATTGTTCCAAAATTTATATATATATAGATGTAACAGTTCACTGAACACTTTCCTAAAAACTGCTGCAGCTTGTGGAACTCTTTGAAAAAAGGGGTTTATAGCAGAGTGGCACTTGACACTCCTCAACTTTAAAAAACGAGTGTCTTTGTGTGTTTGTGGGCATTTTTGGTATGTCCACATAAAAAAACACCTCTTCTGAGCACTTTTTTTGAAAGCATTTGGAGGCATTTGTATGGGGTAGTGATCACCAGGCCTCGAACGAGATGGTGTGTGTTGGTAATTTAGTGGGCGCTGGTCTATTGCAGGTGTTGCTCCTTGGTACTTGGCGATTATTTGTCTGATGACTGACAAACAAAATTCACCACATTTTGGTTTGTTGTTGGTCCTAAACTTGTATATTTAAAGCATTTAGCATGGGAATATCAAGAAGACGGAAAAAAAGTTTTATATACCACTTATAAACTCTTGGTACACAGTCTGAAAACCCCAATTGCATGTCACATTTGTCCACTAAGTGCATATTGAGGTTGTAGTCCATGACAGCTGCAGGTTTTAGAATGGGTTCACTGGTCTCTCTATTGTGCCTGCCAGTGTGTGCCATTTCATTTCAGTGAACTGATGTCAACAATGTGGCATCACGTTTGTCATGCCACTGAAATGCCATGATATCATTGGCAGCAAAGGCCTGCACCTCACCTCTGCGATTTCCCAAAGCTTAAAACCTTGGGCATATTTTTTACAATTACCATGCACTGTGCCACACACGTCTGTTAGGTTCACTCGCAAGAAATCACTGAGTATGGGGCTTGTGTACCAGTTATCAAGATATGGTTCCATCATTGTTCGAACCACATCACCAGAGATACCCAATAACTTCCTGGTATCTCTCAATGTATTACTGCCAATGTACAAAAAATGATATCCAAAACGAGACCACTTTTGCAATCACAGGTACAAATAACTTTATCCCAAAGCATTTCTCTGTTTGGTATGTATTGCTTGAAATGAGAGTTTCCTTTGAATAAAATAAAAAAACTTGTCAATAACAGCTTCCTAAAGGGGAAATAAAAATACATGCAGCACTTTGTTTCAGGTACAAAAACCCACATTTCTGATCTTATATAACCTGTCGCTTCTGTTAGGCCTGGTTTTGTTGAAAAGCGTAACATACGTAACAGTATCAAAAATGATTCACACCTATAATGTCACTAAAACCTGGGGTTGAAATCAGGCATTCTGTTGACCCATATGTGGTGACAGTGTGCTTATACACATGTGGCATAAGCATTATTGTGGCAAAAAACAGGTACATCTCTGCCACAGTTGTGTCCTTCCACTGG